AAATTAAATAGAACTTTGTCAATTTAAATTATTTAATTTACTGCAGCTGTATATCACATAGACATAATTACATAAAAAATAGGTGGAATTTATTTTTTATAACAGATTTACAACCTTAATATTAATTCAATCAAAAGCATATGTCATTCACCTTACGCTGCGATTTCTGAGGGACGTTCCCGCAAAATGCTTGCCATGCCCTCAACTGTGACCTCAGACCAATAAAATCACGTTTTTCCGATCATGTGCTTTTTATACCAGCTCTCAATAACAATTATTCTTATTGGATCTACTTTAGCCAGGAAATAAACGTGTCTTAGCTTAACTCCCACATTACCTGATGTCCCACAATACCTGAATTCACCATATCTGCGCTGGATATCACCGGCACGCCACACGCCTTGTAGGCGGAACTGCATGTCCGTTATAGCCGAACAGAACTACAGCTAAAAGCGGTCCTGGGGACCAAATTGTTTGTCCATTATAAGCAAAATTCCGTTAGGCCTATATGCGAGTCCACTATATCCGATGCTTTTTCTGCAAGGCGCACGGCCGGGACCAGCGGACCTCGTCCGTTATAGATGATATTCCGTTATAAGCGAGTCCACTGCTTACAGTATTATTACTGTACTTTGTCTTTTCATGTCATTTCAAGGGTCCAATTACTCGCACATATCTTTTCCTGTATTAAAATAAAAGTGCAAATGTGTCCTATTTCTCCAGCAAAATTGCTACGGAGACTAAACTGAATGCATTCAACAATGTAAAAACAAATCATACTTAAACAAGGCATATGTTCTGTAATAAATATTTTATTCGTGCTAATGTTATTATTGTTGTTGTTGTTATTATACCTGTGGTTCAGTCGCTTATACTCGTGCACAATATGCTTGCAAATATTTTAAAAGCAAATTATCAAAAGTATAGGCCTAAATTTTTATATTAACACAATAAAGAAATAAAGTCGAACCTCGGTACAATGTACCCCGTTTATAACGTTTACACCAATACAACGTTCAAATTTCAATGTCCTGAATTTGAGTAATGAATTATTCCATTTGCCGGTATGGCTTAGAACGTACACCTTTACAGCGTAAACTTCGATATAACGTATGATTTTCAGAGGAAAATAGGCAAACTGACCTTCGTTACAACGTACAGCCTCATCTTCCGAGCGCGCACACAATTCAGAATCGGCTGTTGCCGGCCATCTACATCGCTTAGCAACACCTAACTGTATGAACCTATCCTCACGAAGCATTCCACGCCGGCCGGACTCCTTGCATGCAGCCCCCGTTTTTTCATGGTTTTGCATGATGTCATGCCGCCGCATATCAAACAAGATGCCTGCTAAAAGGAAACAGATTTCACTGACCGACAAGGTGGAAATAATTCAGAATTATCGTAAAGGGGTTTCGCAAACAAAACTAAGCGAGGATAATGGATTGGCGAGAAGTTTTTTTATATACATTTTGTGTTCTATCATTCATTTTGAGGGACTTGGTTGCAACGTACTATGGTTATAACGTGCAAATTCTTAATGTCCCTCGAGGTACGTTGTAACGAAGTTCGACTGTACTAAACAATAACACAAACCGACAAATAAAAAACTTTTAAATTCAAATTCCTTCGAATTTATTTACACGTTTTTTCTGCAGAAATGTGGGTGAAAGACTCCGGTTGCTGAATTAGTCTATTGATATACGCTCTCAGCAACTCCCCGAGAGCCCGTTCGATGAACGAATCAAAGTTACGGGTTTTCGGACACTCAGTAGGTGAATCGAACGAACGGTTAACTATAGGCCAATCAGTCTAACTTGTATAACTGGTAAACTATAGGCCAATCAGTCTAACTTGTATAACTGGTAAAGTTATGGAGGCTATAATCAAAGAGAAAATGGTAGATTACCTGGACTCAAATAACATTTTGAGGGATAGCCAGCATGGATTTAGGAGAGGTGAATCCTGTTTAACAAATCTGTTGGATTTTTTTGAGGAAGCTACTCAGGAAGTTGATGATAAGAAGGCCTATGATGTCATCTATTTAGATTTCCAAAAGGCTTTTGATGTTGTTCCCCACAAGAGG